AATCAATAGAGTAACTATCCAAGTTTCATCTCACATCTGCATTCAAACATCTTTTTGTCTGCTCCCTCTAGGAAGTGCCATAAACAAAAATACAATTTCACACACAAGAAGGCATGCTGTGTTCTGCAGTCATCATTATGCAACAAGAATGTTTGTCTTACATAGTGAATTACTTTGCAATTGTCTGTGAATCATGTTTGCATGTTGCACAATGATGAATAATTCTGACTTTGTGAACTGCAGAACAGAAAACACTTTCTCTGTTCAAGACATTTCCTAGAGGTGGTAAACAACAAGACATTTGAATGCAGTTAGGAGATAAAACTTGCAGTTACTCTGTTGATTAGTGTAAGTTGTATACTTCTCAGATAATAATTAACATAACTGCAGTAATTTAAAATAGTAGCATTATTTTTGGAAGACCTGTATAATAAAATAATCAGTTAATGAAAATATTTATTTGCAAAATATAACAAAAATTGAACTTTTCCTATTATTATTATTATTTTAAATCTGAAAACTGTCTAATTTCTTAATTATATTGCCAAAAAATAAATAAATTTTTGTGTATCAAGATAACACTACTTACAATATCAGCAAACATCTGGAATGACGTATTACACCCCAAAGGAGAATAACACAGACTAGAATTAGAACACACAAAGCAGCAATAGTGACAGGCCACCTAATTAAAAATTATATAAGATTTTATTAAATATACAATTAATTTTATAATAAGCAATTTCTATTACAAATTTTTAAATATTTTTATTTAAAATAATTTAAGACAAAACTTTAAATGATTCATTCATATATATTAATAAATGATACTTTTGTAAATATATCTGTATACATATTTATGTATGTGTCTGAATACAAGTGAAACTCTTATAAATTTGTTACTTTTTTGATTTGATTGTGTATTGTTTTTGCATTCTATCATGCATGTACATATACATGCTTATATGTTTTATTCTTATCACACTTCATTATAACTTTTGATTATTAGTTGAGTAATAAGTACAAAAATTAAGATCTACTAGTTAACCATATGTCATATGTGATAAAAATATTCCAATAAACTTTTCCCATTGCATAACAACAACAAAAATTAAATAATTAAGGTTTCCAAATAACTCCAGTCATGTTTTGATGTACTTTCAAATTTTTTATACCAACAAGTTCCAGAACCAGGCAAACATAAAGACATTATAGAAATAGCAGACCTAATCTGCAACTCTTCATTTTTCTCCTTTAATAACAGAATTTTTAAACAACGTAAAGGAGTATCAATGGGTAGTCCCATGTCAGGCCTTTTATGCGAGCTAGTGGTAAAGAATAAAGAAAACAAAGTTATCTCAGAATTTGAAGAAGACATTAATGTATAGAAGATATATAGATGACACATTTATTTTATAGAGGAAGGAAAATGGTATCTCCAAATTCATTGATGTAGTAAATGACAACAACAAAAGATTGAAGCTAAAACTTAAACAGAAAAGTAAAAGTAATGTGTACTTTCTAAATATTGATATCACCTTAGGATCAGAATGAATAAGCACAAAAGTGTACATAAAACTAAACGTTCAGCCCCCTATATATACAGGCCCAGAATGATACAAAGTGTCTGCATTTGGGGCTTTAATTAAAAGAGCCCATGTGTACAACACAAGTGTGGCATTCGTCACACCACTTGATTGTGTTCGCTGAATATATGAATAGAGACCGTAGTCATATATCTCCTATTTACTTTATTTACACTATATACAAAGAAGTCTCGTCTACCTAACGGTCGGTTGATTGGAATCCATGTGTACATGATAGTAGCTGACAAGTAAGGAAGGAAGTATGGCGGACGGCCTGCACACGCTTATATATGCATCGCGCCAGCGCCACCTGGATTTCCAGATGTAGCGCTAGTTACAATTATGCGGCCGCCACACACTCCCCCACCAGTGACAACGAGAAGTTTACCGTTATATGTTTACAAATATCATTACGGTTAACCCGTCATAAATATCGCGGGTTGAATCGGACCCGTCGACCGGATCTGGTTGCAACCGGCGCTCGTCTGTCGTCCGGCATCATCGCTCCTGTTGTCGTCTTAGCAGCTGTCTTCAGCTGTTCGGAAGTTAGGTGCGATCCTCCGGACTTTGTATCTGTGCTTGCCTCGATAAATGCCGGTTTTAACCGGTCTATGTTTATTGCTCTCTTTCGGCTGCCCTGTTCGATGGTGAAAACCTTGTCATCTCTTGATATAACACGAAAAGGACCCAAATAGACTGGTTGTAACGAGTTCCTTACCGTGTCGTCGCGCACAAATACCTGTTGGCACGAGTTCAGTTCTTCGTGTACAAAACAAGTTGTCCTGTTTGGTTGCCTGGTGGGTGTTGGGCGTAACTTTTCCATGGTGCTTTTAAGACGCCCGACGAAGTTTGCTGGGTCGGGGTTGTACCTGCTTGGAGTAAAAAATTCGCCCGGCAACCTAAGGTTTTCACCGTAAACCATTTCGGCAGTGGCGGCCTGTATGTCTTCTTTGAATGCTGTTCGAAGGCCAAGGAGGACCGTTGGGAGTACATTTGCCCAATCGTCTCCTCCATGGCAACGTAGGGCTGCCTTAAGTGTGCGGTGGAGCCGTTCCACCATTCCATTCGCCGCTGGATGGTACGGGGTTGTGCGGATCTGTTTGATGCCCAGGGTTGTCGATAAAGCGTGGAAAAGGTCGGACTCAAATTGACGTCCTTGGTCCGAGGTCAATCTGAGCGGAACGCCAAAGCGGCATATCCAATTTGCGTAAAAAACTTTTGCAATCGATTCCGCCGAGATATCGGCGACCGGAATGCACTCCGGCCACCTGGAGTACCTATCGATACATGTAACGATGTATCTAAAGCCTTGCGACGGGGGGAAGCGGACCCACTATATCTATATGCACGTGCTCGAAACGGGAACTGGGAATGAGAAAGGTGCCTGGTTTTGAGCGAGTATGCCTGTGCACCTTGGAGCGTTGGCACTGGAGACAAGCGCGCGTCCACTTGGTTACATCTGATCTCATGGACTTCCAGCAGTATCGCTCGCTTACTAATTTCGCTGTTGCGCGGATACTAGGATGTGCCAGACCATGAACAGAGTCGAAGACCTGTCGTCTAAACTCCTTGGGAACAAACGGCCTGACCTTGTTTCCTGACACGTCGCAATACAGCTGGGCTGCCGAATCATCTATTGGCAGCAGCTTCAGCACTAACCCAGTCGAGTTGGGGTTGTTAAGTAGCGCCTGCAGCTGGTCGTCTGTCTCCTGGGCTCTAGCCATTTCCAGATAGTTAATCGGCAGATTTGTGATTGCTTCTACACGCGACAGCGTGTCGGCTACAATATTTTCTTTGCCCTTGATATGTCGAATATCTGTTGTAAACTGGGCGATAAAATTTAGTTGCCTAACCTGCCGGGGTGAACACTTGTCCGATTTCTGCAGAAAGGCATAGGTCAAGGGTTTGTGGTCCGTGTGTATTGTAAATGCACGGCCCTCTAGCATGTGCCTAAAGTGCCGGACTGCCATATAAGCCGCGAGTAGTTCCCTATCGTACGCACTATACTTACGCTCCGCTGGTGTTAGCTTGCGGGAAAAAAAGGCTAGAGGCTTCCACTCGTCCTGCTTTTGCTGCAAGACCGCCCCTACGGCGATGTCAGAAGCGTCAACAATCAGTGCTGTCGGCGCCGTGGAATCGGGATATACTAGCGTTGCTGCTCGCGCTAATTTATCTTTGCACTCTTGGAATGCTTTTTTTGAGTCCTCGTCCCAATTAATTGCACGGTTATCGTTCTTTGCTGCCCCTTTTAGGAATTCGCAGAGGGGCGCCTGGGATTTTGCCGCATGGGGAATAAAACGCCGGTAAAAATTCAGCATTGCCAGGAACCTACGCAATTCACGTACTGTTTTTGGTTGGGGTATCTGGCCTATTGCTGCAACCCTATCTTGCAAGGGACCGATGCCTGCGGGAGTTACGCGATAACCTAAAAATCTTACCTCAGATTGACCAAGGATGCATTTGGACGGGTTGATCCGTACTCCGTATTCTTTGAAGCGTTCCAAGACGGTCTTGAGATGCTCCCAATGTTCCGCTTCGCTGGTCGACGCCACTAATACGTCGTCGAAGTAGGGCACACAAAAGTCCAGCCCGCGTAAGACTTGGTGAATAAACCGTTGGAACGTCTGTGCAGCGTTGCATAAGCCGAAGCCCATGTATAGGAACTCGAACAACCCGAAAGGGGTGGTCACTGCCGTTTTGGGGACGTCTTCCGGGTTCACTGGGATTTGGTGGTACGCCCTCGCTAGATCGAGCGTCGAGAAAACGGACTTGCCGCGTAACAGCTGCACACAGTCTTGTATGTGGGGTATGGGGTAGCGGTCGGGAACTGTTATTGCGTTTAACCTCCTATAGTCGCCACAGGGCCTCCAGTCGCCGTTGCTTTTTCGCACTAGGTGCAACGGGCTAGCCCACTGGCTGCTGGATGGTCGGCAAATCCCTTGGGCCATCATATATTCGAACTCCTTCCTTGCTGCGTTGAGCTTTTCGGGAGGAAGTCTGCGCGGCTTTCCTGCGACCGGCGGTCCCCGGGTTTGAATGAAGTGGACTACACTATGTTTGGGCGGTTCTGCTGGTGTAGATGGTGTGACCAGCTCAGGAAACTCTGCGAGCAGACGATGGAAGGAGGAGTTGTCTCCGACGAGTGATAGTGTCGGTGTTGCCACCGTCACGGCTTTTCCAGCGCTTGCAAGTTTAGTTTGGTTATCTATAAGCCTTTTGTGTCGAATATCGACAATAAGGCCAAAGTTCCTTAAGAAATCCGCTCCAATTATTAGGTTGGATACTGCAGCTATTACGAACGGCCATTGAAATGACCGGCACAGACCCAATTCCAATGATAATAGTCTCCGTCCGTACGTTTTGATCTTTGAGCCGTTTGCTGCAAAGAGTTGCAGTCGGTCTGGCTCTCTTCTTGCTTCGGCCGGAGTTGGGGGGACTACAGAAATGTCCGCTCCTGTATCTATCAGAAAACGCGTTGACGTGGCCCTGTCATGCAAGAAGAGCCTATGTCCCCTAGATTGGCCGTCGCCCGTGTCGTCGAGCGACGGCCCGATCAGTTTCCCGACTGGAATTGGCAGGGGGACGTGCACTTGTTTGCTTTGTCTCCAAACTTTCGGTGGTACCAGCAAACTTTCCTCCCCTCTGATGTGCTTCTGTTTCGATGGGGAGACGAAAAACGGCAGCTGCGATGCCTGCTACGTTGGTAGGGTTTTGACTCCGTGATTTGTTGGATCTGGAGGGACAATTGTGATATCTGTTCCTTCAACTGGGCGATCGCGTCCACGTGATTCTCGGCCGGCAGCGGTGACACGGCCTGAATCTGGCCCATCGGTGTGGTGACTTCGCAAATTTTATCGGCCAATTTGGCAACTTTTGTTAGATCTTCGCCACTTACCGCTAGTATTTGTTGAGCGGCTGTTGGCAAGCGCTGGAGCCAAAGTGTCTTTAGCATGTCGTCTGAAATTCTATTTGTGGCTAACTCTCGCATCTTCCGTAGTAATTGAGACGGGCGTTGGTCCCCTAGCTCAATGCCTTGAAGCAATAATCGTAGCCGCTGTTGTTCAGAATCCGCAAACTGGTCAATTAATCGGCGTTTGAGCGTGAGGTATTTCTCTTTGTTTGGAGGTTGGACGACTATGTCGCTCACTTGGGCGAGGATTTCGCTCTCCATGGCCGCAATAACATGGTTGAATTTTGTTTCGTCGGCTGTTATATTGGCGTTTGCGAACTGGGCTTCTATTTGTGCGAACCAAAGGGTCGGGTTAGCCTTCCAGAACAGTGGGGCTCGTACCACCACCCGAGCGATTTCTGGCACGTAGGTTGCCATGCTTCCGTTATTGTCGTTCGACATTTGTCCTCCAGCACGTGTGAAAAAACCATAAAAATAAAAAATAATTATTACTTGCTTGTCCTGAATGCTGATGAATGTCTCTGGCCCTGTTAGTTTTCCGAACTTCGATGAAAAGCAGCCGATGTAGTTGGATTAGCTTCGGAACGAGAAATCACGTTCGGGTCACCAATGTGGCGTTCGTCACACCACTTGATTGTGTTCGCTGAATATATGAATAGAGACCGTAGTCATATATCTCCTATTTACTTTATTTACACTATATACAAAGAAGTCTCGTCTACCTAACGGCCGGTTGATTGGAATCCACGTGTACATGATAGTAGCTGACAAGTCGGGAAGGAAGTATGGCGGACGGCCTGCATACGCTTATATATGCGTCGCGCCAGCGCCACCTGGATTTCCATATGTAGCGCTAGTTACAATTATGCAGCCGCCACAACAAGTATAGTGGATAAGGAGGCAGAATTAGAAAGAATTAGGGGGATAGCTAAGGAACTGGAATATTCAAACATATGGTTTATAAGTCTGGTTAATTATCATAACAAGATCACTACCACTAAAATGAAAATGAATGAGATGGTTCGTACAAAGTTCACATACCAAAAAGATATCAGGCATATAATGGAGGAGCTTTCTAAACAATGATATATAACAGAGTTCCTAATTTATATCATATACTGCAAAATGACAAGGATCAACCCCCAGAAGAAAATAAAGCAGAAGTATACAGGATCTCGATAATTAATGAAGAGCTTAACCTAAAAATGGCGTATGTTGGAGTAACTAAGAGGAATTTAAGAACCAAAGTTAAAGAACACGAATATAATGTAAAGAAAGAGAAAGAAAACATGGCCTTGGCAGCAATTGCAAATGTACAAGGAACTTCAGTACTGTGGGAGGAATCTAAAATCATTAAGGAAGTACACTCGCCATCTACAGCCATGAATAAAGAAAAAAATTAAAATTTTTAAACATAAACTTAGAAATGAATGCATTAATGCCAGGGATTTAGAGCAATTTCCAACAACATTGAGATATGTATTAAAAAAGGACATGGGACAAGTAATAACTCTAAGTAACATGAACAACAATATTAGACAGTTGTCAATCTTAAATAGTATTGTATTAATTTTTTTGGGAGATAAACTAGGATTTTAAAGTTAAAAAGTCATTAAATACAGGGTGTTTCACAGGCTCTCCACAAAGTTTTTTTTGAATAACTTTCGAATCACGTAGTTTTCAGCCTCAATTTTTTGTAGGTGGCACTTTGAGCAAAAAAGGAATTGCTTCTATCACAAAAGCACGTTGCTTCAAAACATTTGATTTTTCCGTAAGTGGCCTCGCCTAGCCACCTTACAGCTCTGATTTGAGTCCACTAGACTTCTTTCTTTGTGGATACATGAAGGATCAGGTGTTTAAGAATAACCCTACCACCCTCAGTTAGATGAGAGAAAGCATCAAGAGCATCATGAAGGGCATCTCAGATCAGACCTGTAGTAATGTGATTGCTAATTTCCAAGAGAGACTGCACTACTGTATCTCAACAGTGGGCAGACATTTTGAAAATATCTTGCATTAATTTTCTTTTTCATCTTCTATCGTTGCTGAAAATNAATATTACATGATCCATAAAAAATATTTTATTATTATTATTATTATTATTAAAAAAAAACCTAAATTTTTCTCTCTAAAATGCATCAATTCATATTCTATTTTATCCAAAGTAAATCTAACTTTTCTCATTTATCAGTATTATTTTGTGGAATTTCTTGATATTCTTTACAAAAGCAAATTTCATATTTTCATTAATTTACAAGAATATAATTTAGGTCTGCTATTTCTATAATATCTTTATGTTTGGTTCTGGAACTTCATTAATTTAAATATGAGGAAAGAAAGGTATTACATTTAAACATTCCATAAGATGCATAAAAACAATTATCAAAGAATCATTAATGTAATTATTCGATTATACAGGGTCTTCCAAAAAAAATTCTACCATTTTAAATTACTTTAATTATGTTAATCATAACATGAGAAGTATGTATTGTACACCAATCAATAGAGTAACTATCCAAGTTTCATCTCACATCTGCATTCAAACATCTTTTTGTCTGCTCCCTCTAGGAAGTGCCATAAACAAAAATACAATTTCACACACAAGAAGGCATGCTGTGTTCTGCAGTCATCATTATGCAACAAGAATGTTTGTCTTACATAGTGAATTACTTTGCAATTGTCTGTGAATCATGTTTGCATGTTGCACAATGATGAATAATTCTGACTTTGTGAACTGCAGAACAGAAAACACTTTCTCTGTTCAAGACATTTCCTAGAGGTGGTAAACAACAAGACATTTGAATGCAGTTAGGAGATAAAACTTGCAGTTACTCTGTTGATTAGTGTAAGTTGTATACTTCTCAGATAATAATTAACATAACTGCAGTAATTTAAAATAGTAGCATTATTTTTGGAAGACCTGTATAATAAAATAATCAGTTAATGAAAATATTTATTTGCAAAATATAACAAAAATTGAACTTTTCCTATTATTATTATTATTTTAAATCTGAAAATTGTCTAATTTCTTAATTATATTGCCAAAAAATAAATAAATTTTTGTGTATCAAGATAACACTACTTACAATATCAGCAAACATCTGGAATGACGTATTACACCCCAAAGGAGAATAACACAGACTAGAATTAGAACACACAAAGCAGCAATAGTGACAGGCCACCTAATTAAAAATTATATAAGATTTTATTAAATATACAATTAATTTTATAATAAGCAATTTCTATTACAAATTTTTAAATATTTTTATTTAAAATAATTTAAGACAAAACTTTAAATGATTCATTCATATATATTAATAAATGATACTTTTGTAAATATATCTGTATACATATTTATGTATGTGTCTGAATACAAGTGAAACTCTTATAAATTTGTTACTTTTTTGATTTGATTGTGTATTGTTTTTGCATTCTATCATGCATGTACATATACATGCTTATATGTTTTATTCTTATCACACTTCATTATAACTTTTGATTATTAGTTGAGTAATAAGTACAAAAATTAAGATCTACTAGTTAACCATATGTCATATGTGATAAAAATATTCCAATAAACTTTTCCCATTGCATAACAACAACAAAAATTAAATAATTAAGGTTTCCAAATAACTCCAGTCATGTTTTGATGTACTTTCAAATTTTTTATACCAACAAGTTCCAGAACCAGGCAAACATAAAGACATTATAGAAATAGCAGACCTAATCTGCAACTCTTCATTTTTCTCCTTTAATAACAGAATTTTTAAACAACGTAAAGGAGTATCAATGGGTAGTCCCATGTCAGGCCTTTTATGCGAGCTAGTGGTAAAGAATAAAGAAAACAAAGTTATCTCAGAATTTGAAGAAGACATTAATGTATAGAAGATATATAGATGACACATTTATTTTATAGAGGAAGGAAAATGGTATCTCCAAATTCATTGATGTAGTAAATGACAACAACAAAAGATTGAAGCTAAAACTTAAACAGAAAAGTAAAAGTAATGTGTACTTTCTAAATATTGATATCACCTTAGGATCAGAATGAATAAGCACAAAAGTGTACATAAAACTAAACGTTCAGCCCCCTATATATACAGGCCCAGAATGATACAAAGTGTCTGCATTTGGGGCTTTAATTAAAAGAGCCCATGTGTACAACACAAGTGTGGCATTCGTCACACCACTTGATTGTGTTCGCTGAATATATGAATAGAGACCGTAGTCATATATCTCCTATTTACTTTATTTACACTATATACAAAGAAGTCTCGTCTACCTAACGGTCGGTTGATTGGAATCCATGTGTACATGATAGTAGCTGACAAGTAAGGAAGGAAGTATGGCGGACGGCCTGCACACGCTTATATATGCATCGCGCCAGCGCCACCTGGATTTCCAGATGTAGCGCTAGTTACAATTATGCGGCCGCCACACACTCCCCCACCAGTGACAACGAGAAGTTTACCGTTATATGTTTACAAATATCATTACGGTTAACCCGTCATAAATATCGCGGGTTGAATCGGACCCGTCGACCGGATCTGGTTGCAACCGGCGCTCGTCTGTCGTCCGGCATCATCGCTCCTGTTGTCGTCTTAGCAGCTGTCTTCAGCTGTTCGGAAGTTAGGTGCGATCCTCCGGACTTTGTATCTGTGCTTGCCTCGATAAATGCCGGTTTTAACCGGTCTATGTTTATTGCTCTCTTTCGGCTGCCCTGTTCGATGGTGAAAACCTTGTCATCTCTTGATATAACACGAAAAGGACCCAAATAGACTGGTTGTAACGAGTTCCTTACCGTGTCGTCGCGCACAAATACCTGTTGGCACGAGTTCAGTTCTTCGTGTACGAAACAAGTTGTCCTGTTTGGTTGCCTGGTGGGTGTTGGGCGTAACTTTTCCATGGTGCTTTTAAGACGCCCGACGAAGTTTGCTGGGTCGGGGTTGTACCTGCTTGGAGTAAAAAATTCGCCCGGCAACCTAAGGTTTTCACCGTAAACCATTTCGGCAGTGGCGGCCTGTATGTCTTCTTTGAATGCTGTTCGAAGGCCAAGGAGGACCGTTGGGAGTACATTTGCCCAATCGTCTCCTCCATGGCAACGTAGGCTTGCCTTAAGTGTGCGATGGAGCCGTTCCACCATTCCATCACCATTCCATTCGCTGCTGGATGGTATGGGGTTGTGCGGATCTGTTTGATGCCCAGGGTTGTCGATAAAGCGTGGAAAAGGTCGGACTCAAATTGACGTCCTTGGTCCGAGGTCAATCTGAGCGGAACGCCAAAGCGGCATATCCAATTTGCGTAAAAAACTTTTGCAATCGATTCCGCCGAGATATCGGCGACCGGAATGCACTCCGGCCACCTGGAGTACCTATCGATACATGTAACGATGTATCTAAAGCCTTGCGACGGGGGAAGCGGACCCACTATATCTATATGCACGTGCTCGAAACGGGAACTGGGAATGAGAAAGGTGCCTGGTTTTGAGCGAGTATGCCTGTGCACCTTGGAGCGTTGGCACTGGAGACAAGCGCGCGTCCACTTGGTTACATCTGATCTCATGGACTTCCAGCAGTATCGCTCGCTTACTAATTTCGCTGTTGCGCGGATACTAGGATGTGCCAGACCATGAACAGAGTCGAAGACCTGTCGTCTAAACTCCTTGGGAACAAACGGCCTGACCTTGTTTCCTGACACGTCGCAATACAGCTGGGCTGCCGAATCATCTATTGGCAGCAGCTTCAGCACTAACCCAGTCGAGTTGGGGTTGTTAAGTAGCGCCTGCAGCTGGTCGTCTGTCTCCTGGGCTCTAGCCATTTCCAGATAGTTAATCGGCAGATTTGTGATTGCTTCTACACGCGACAGCGTGTCGGCTACAATATTTTCTTTGCCCTTGATATGTCGAATATCTGTTGTAAACTGGGCGATAAAATTTAGTTGCCTAACCTGCCGGGGTGAACACTTGTCCGATTTCTGCAGAAAGGCATAGGTCAAGGGTTTGTGGTCCGTGTGTATTGTAAATGCACGGCCCTCTAGCATGTGCCTAAAGTGCCAGACTGCCATATAAGCCGCGAGTAGTTCCCTATCGTACGCACTATACTTACGCTCCGCTGGAGTTAGCTTGAGAGAAAAAAAGGCTAGAGGCTTCCACTCGTCCTGCTTTTGCTGCAAGACCACCCCTACGGCGATGTCAGAAGCGTCAACAATCAGTGCTGTCGGCGCCGTGGAATCGGGATATACTAGCGTTGCTGCTCGCGCTAATTTATCTTTGCACTCTTGGAATGCTTTTTTTGAGTCTTCGTCCGAATTAATTGCACGGTTATCGTTCTTTGCTGCCCCTTTTAGGAATTCGCAGAGAGGCGCCTGGGATTTTGCCGCATGGGGAATGAAACGCCGGTAAAAATTCAGCATTGCCAGGAACCTACGCAATTCACGTACTGTTTTTGGTTGGGGTATCTGGCCTATTGCTGCAACCCTATCTTGCAAGGGACCGAGTTACGCGATAACCTAAAAATCTTACCTCAGATTGACCAAGGATGCATTTGGACAGGTTGATCCGTACTCCGTATTCTTTGAAGCGTTCCAAGACGGTCTTGAGATGCTCCCAATGTTCCGCTTCGCTGGTCGACGCCACTAATACGTCGTCGAAGTAGGGCACACAAAAGTCCAGCCCGCGTAAGACTTGGTGAATAAACCGTTGGAACGTCTGTGCAGCGTTGCATAAGCCGAAGCCCATGTATAGGAACTCGAACAACCCGAAAGGGGTGGTCACTGCCATTTTGGGGACGTCTTCCGGGTTCACTGGGATTTAGTGGTAAGCCCTCGCTAGATCGAGCGTCGAGAAAACGGACTTGCCGCGTAACAGCTGCACACAGTCTTGTATATGGGGTATGGGGTAGCGGTCGGGAACTGTTATTGCGTTTAACCTCCTATAGTCTCCACAGGGCCTCCAGTCGCCGTTGCTTTTTCGCACTAGGTGCAACGGGCTAGCCCACTGGCTGCTGGATGGTCGGCAAATTCCTTGGGCCATCATATATTCGAACTCCTTCCTTGCTGCGTTGAGCTTTTCGGGCGGAAGTCTGCGAGGCTTTCCTGCGACTGGCGGTCCCCGGGTTTGAATGAAGTGGACTACACTATGTTTGGGCGGTTCGGCTGGTGTAGATGGTGTGACCAGCTCAGGAAACTCTGCGAGCAGACGATGGAAGGAGGAGTTGTCTCCGACGAGCGATAGTGTCGGTGTTGCCACCGTCACGGCTTTTCCAGCGCTCGCAAGTTTAGTTTGGTTATCTATAAGCCTTTTGTGTCGAATATCGACAATAAGGCCAAAGTTCCTTAAGAAATCCGCTCCAATTATTGGGTTGGATACTGCAGCTATTACGAACGGCCATTGAAACGACCGGCGCAGACCCAATTCCAATGATAATAATCTCCGTCCGTACGTTTTGATCTTTGAACCGTTTGCTGCAAAGAGTTGCAGTCTGTCTGGCTCTCTTCTTGCTTCGGCCGGAGTTGGGGGGACTACAGAAATGTCCGCTCCTGTATCTATCAGAAAACGCGTCGACGTGGCCCTGTCATGCAAGAAGAGCCTATGTCCCCTAGACTGGCCGTCGCCCGTGTCGTCGAGCGACGGCCCGATCAGTTTCCCGACTGGAATTGGCAGGGGGACGTGCACTTGTTTGCTTTGTCTCCGAACTTCCGGTGGTACCAGCAGACCTGCCTTCCCTCTGATGTGCTTCTGTTTCGATGGGGAGACGAAAAACGGCGGCTGCGATGCCTGCTACGTCGGTAGGGTTTTGACTCCGTAATTTGTTGGATCTGGAGGGACAATTGTGATATCTGTTCCTTCAACTGGGCGATCGCGTCCACGTGGTTCTCGGCCGGCGGCGGTGACACGGCCTGAATCTGGCCCATTGGTGCGGTGACTTCGCAAATTTTATCGGCCAATTCGGCAACTTTTGTTAGATCTTCGCCACTTACCGCTAGTATTTGTTGAGCGGCTGTTGGCAAGCGCTGGAGCCAAAGTGTCTTTAGCACGTCGTCTGAAATTCTATTTGTGGCTAACTCTCGCATCTTCCGTAGTAATTGAGACGGGCGTTGATCCCCTAGCTCAATGCCTTGAAGCAATAATCGTAGCCGCTGTTGTTCAGAATCCGCGAACTGGTCAATTAATCGGCGTTTGAGCGTGAGGTATTTCTCTTTGTTCGGAGGTTGGACGACTATGTCGCTCACTTGGGCGAGGATTTCGCTCTCCATGGCCGCAATAACATGGTTGAATTTTGTTTCGTCGGCTGTTATATTGGCGTTTGCGAACTGGGCTTCTATTTGTGCGAACCAAAGGGTCGGGTTAGCCTTCCAGAACGGTGGGGCTCGTACCGCCACCCGAGCGATTTCTGGCACGTAGGTTGCCATGCTTCCGTTATTGTCGTTCGACATTTGTCCTCCAGCACGTGTGAAAAAACCGTAAAAATAAAAAATAATTATTACTTGCTTGTCCTGAATGCTGATGAATGTCTCTGGCCCTGTTAGTTTTCCGAACTTCGATGAAAAGCAGCCGATGTAGTTGGATTAGCTTCGGAACGAGAAATCACGTTCGGGTCACCAATGTGGCGTTCGTCACACCACTTGATTGTGTTCGCTGAATATATGAATAGAGACCGTAGTCATATATCTCCTATTTACTTTATTTACACTATATACAAAGAAGTCTCGTCTACCTAACGGCCGGTTGATTGGAATCCACGTGTACATGATAGTAGCTGACAAGTCGGGAAGGAAGTATGGCAGACGGCCTGCATACGCTTATATATGCGTCGCGCCAGCGCCACCTGGATTTCCAGATGTAGCGCTAGTTACAATTATGCAGCCGCCACAACAAGTATAGTGGATAAGGAGGCAGAATTAGAAAGAATTAGGGGGATAGCTAAGGAACTGGAATATTCAAACATATGGTTTATAAGTCTGGTTAATTATCATAACAAGATCACTACCACTAAAATGAAAATGAATGAGATGGTTCGTACAAAGTTCACATACCAAAAAGATATCAAGCATATAATGGAGGAGCTTTCCAAACAATGATATATAACAGAGTTCCTAATTTATATCATATACTGCAAAATGACAAGGATCAACCCCCAGAAGAAAATAAAGCAGAAGTATACAGGATCTCGATAATTAATGAAGAGCTTAACCTAAAAATGGCGTATGTTGGAGTAACTAAGAGGAATTTAAGAACCAAAGTTAAAGATCACGAATATAATGTAAAGAAAGAGAAAGAAAACATGGCCTTGGCAGCAATTGCAAATGTACAAGGAACTTCAGTACTGTGGGAGGAATCTAAAATCATTAAGGAAGTACACTCGCCATCTACAGCCATGAATAAAGAAAAAAATTAAAATTTTTAAACATAAACTTAGAAATGAATGCATTAATGCCAGGGATTTAGAGCAATTTCCAACAACATTGAGATATGTATTAAAAAAGGACATGGGACAAGTAATAACTCTAAGTAACATGAACAACAATATTAGACAGTTGTCAATCTTAAATAGTATTGTATTAATTTTTTTGGGAGATAAACTAGGATTTTAAAGTTAAAAAGTCATTAAATACAGGGTGTTTCACAGGCTCTCCACAAAGTTTTTTTTGAATAACTTTTGAATCACGTAGTTTTCAGCCTCAATTTTTTGTAGGTGGCACTTTGAGCAAAAAAGGAATTGCTTCTATCACAAAAGCACGTTGCTTCAAAACATTTGATTTTTCACAAGTGGCCTCGCCTAGCCACCTTACAGCTCTGATTTGAGTCCACTAGACTTCTTTCTTTGTGGATACACGAAGGATCAGGTGTTTAAGAATAACCCTACCACCCTCAGTTAGATGAGAGAAAGCATCAAGAGCATCATGAAGGGCATCTCAGATCAGACCTGTAGTAATGTGATTGCTAATTTCCAAGAGAGACTGCACTACTGTATCTCAACAGTGGGCAGACATTTTGAAAATATCTTGCATTAATTTTCTTTTTCATCTTCTATCGTTGCTGAAAATTTCGTTAAAAAATTTAAATTTTCAAAAAAGTCATTCAAAAAACACTGTGGAGAGGCTGTGAAACACCCTGTATATTCTTGTTAATTTCACTTGAAAGTTGAAAAGAAATGTTTGACGTTGTTCTGAATTTGAACATAATTTACCTAATGAGGGCTCATAAATAGAACCGAAAAATGTTAGCAAAGAAAATTTAAATACCCCAGTGGTAAGGTGTTTTTATATTCAGTTACAATTAATTAAATTATTAATTAACATTAAAATTTACCTTATAATTTCAATCATTTTAATATTGTCGGGTATTGGTTGTAAATCCAATTTATCAATATTTTTGTTGATGTCGACTACTTTGGTAATTCCTGTGCTTACATTTTTCCTCATATTTTTGAGAGCGTCTTGTAGATAATCATGTACTGTAGCATTAGGTAAAGGTTTGCTGAAATCTTCTTTCAGTTTATCCAGGCCAGGATTTACATCATTTTCCAAAATTAGTTGTATTCTAATTGTCTGTAAAAATATAGAATTATATTCTAGATTGTTTCTTTATGTCAAATATAAGAAATTCAGACTTACAATGTATATATTTACATTATAATACAATCTATTAGTGTAAACTGCTGTTTTAATTTCATAAAATTTGTTAAAATATAATATTTCAATCTTGAAAAATTTACAAAGTTAAATCTTCTTCTACACGATCAGATGAGAATTAAACATAAAATACATTCAAGCCTTAAATCAGCCTAGCATCAAAGTACAATTCAAGGACAATGCATTAACTTTAAAAAAGACAAATGGATTTTTTATGCATGACAAGTCCTTTTTGATATATCTTCATGATCTTTTTATTATAAACTACAAATAATATCTTCATGATCTAAATTACATTGATTGTGGATAGGCACATCTAATTAGTCTGCAGTGGAATTTAAATTTGAATTAACTAACTGTTCTTCTGAGCATTCCATTTTAGAATATATTATTTAAATGTATAATGTGGGTGTACAACCGAAAAAAAAAATGCAACTGAACTGTTAAAGTTTTTTAGAAGACAGCTCAATGGTGCATAAATCCAAATTTGTTAATAACTCATTTCAATGTAATTTTTCAGGTTAATTGAGAGGCTTTTTCCATTAAGTCCCTCAATTAGTTCACACACAAGATGATGAAAGAGAAGCATGAAAAATATTTCATTTTCAGAATATAACCGCTCATTAACTACCACTTTTTTTATATGTATTTATTCTGATAAAATTATCTAGCAATGTTTAAACAATTTAGTAGAAAAAATATTATATTTAAATATTAATTTTATGTTTAAAATAAATAATTTCCTTAAAAATTGTAAAACAAAGAAAAACAAGATTATAAATAAACTAGCAAATTAATTTTACAAATAACAGTCCTATATCCCTTATTCCTTGTCCATTTTTTTTGAAGCAAGGGCAGGTGCTCCTACTTTTCCTAATGGTAAAACCAGCACTGCTAAAATTAATATTTTAATGAATAACAAAATATCAATACTTTAGATATTTGTTATCTTATAATAATTTATATATATAAACTTTAAGAAAAAAGCCAGTATTAACAATGCTGAAACTAACATTTTTCCACTTTATACAAAATATGTATGAACACTTAGCAAGTTAATGTTTGCATATTGGCAGACGTTTGTTTACATATTCTCAACTACCAACTTAAATTAATTGCTTAAATTAATTGTTTAATGATAATCTTGATAATCTTGTATAATGATAACCTATCATTACAGTAGGACTTTGTGTGATTATGCAGCATTACAAAGATGTATTGTGTTGCTGTGTGCTGGGATGTATCATTATTCTTCTTTATTAAGATGCTTTATTTTTAGATTGTGATCTACTGAAAATGAGAAACCACAGACTAAAAATATTTGGCACTTTTATGTAAGTTTGCTCTAATAGAGCAGTGTTTTGCATTTTTTAAATTTTTATTACAACTTTAATTATGTTATAAAGCACATCAATGCATGTAAGCATTAAAAATGTAAATAAATAATTTATTGATTAAAAGATAAAATTTTAATATATTTGAAAATTTAATTTTTGTTTTGTTATTTTTTTTTAATTTACTAAAATAAAATGAAATTTTACAAAAGCTTTCTGCATATAAATAAATTATTCTTACATTTAGTAAACAATGAAGCCTAAGTTAATATTTAAAAATAATGATTATATTTAGTTTTGTTACGTATCGATTCCTGATGAGATAATGAGAATGTTAGATAAATGCTATATATAATGAACACAAAGCACAAAACACTTACCGAACAAAACAATCTTTATTTAACTAAAACAAAAACACAACTAACTACAATGCCTGAGGTGTGAGTGACCTAAATGAAATTGGTTACCAACATAGAAGAGAAAGTAGAAATTTCTATCATTCAAGGAATAAAAGACACCTGAAGACATGCAAACAAATATAATAAATATNGATACAAAGTGTCCGCATTTGGGGCTTTAATTAAAAGAGCCCATGTGTACAACACAAGTGTGGCGTTCGTCACACCACTTGATTGTGTTCGCTGAATATATGAATAGAGACCGTAGTCATATATCTCCTATTTACTTTATTTACACTATATACAAAGAAGTCTCGTCTACCTAACGGCCGGTTGATTGGAATCCATGTGTACATGATAGTAGCTGACAAGTCAGGAAGGAAGTATGGCGGACGGCCTGCACACGCTTATATATGCGTTGTGCCAGCGCCACCTGGATTTCCAGATGTAGCGCTAGTTACAATTATGCGGCCGCCACACACTCCCCCACCAGTGACAACGAGAAGTTTACCGTTATATGTTTACAAATATCATTACGGTTAACCCGTCATAAATATCGCGGGTTGAATCGGACCCGTCGACCGGATCTGGTTGCAACCGGCGCTCGTCTGTCGTCCGGCGTCATCGCTCCTGTTGTCGTCTTAGCAGCTGTCTTCGGCTGTTCGGAAGTTAGGTGCGGTCCTCCGGACTTTGTATCTGTGCTTGCCTCGATAAATGCCGGTTTTAACCGGTCTATGTTTATTGCTATCTTTCGGCTGCCCTGTTCGATGGTGAAAACCTTGTCATCTCTTGATATAACACGAAAAGGACCCAAATAGACTGGTTGTAACGAGTTCCTTACCGTGTCGTTGCGCACAAATACCTGTTGGCACAAGTTCAGTTCTTCGTGTACAAAACAAGTTGTCCTGTTTGGTTGCCTGGTGGGTGTTGGGCGTAACTTTTCCATGGTGGTTTTAAGATGCCCGACGAAGTTTGCTGGGTTGGGGTTGTACCTGCTTGGAGTAAAAAATTCGCCCTGCAACCTAAGGTTTTCACCGTAAATCATTTCGGCAGTGGCGGCCTGTATGTCTTCTTTGAATGCTGTTCGAAGGCCAAGGAGGACCGTTGGGAGTACATTTGCCCAATCGTCTCCTCCATGGCAACGTAGGGCTGCCTTAAGTGTGCGGTGGAGCCGTTCCACCATTCCATTCGCCGCTGGATGGTACGGGGTTGTGCAAATCTGCTTGATGCCCAGGGTTGTTGATAAAACGTGGAAAAGGTCGGACTCAAATTGTCGTCCTTGGTCCGAGGTCAATCTGAGCGGAACACCAAAGCGGCATATCCAATTTGCATAAAAAACTTTTGCCATCGATTCTGCTGAGATATCGGTGACCGGAATGCACTCCAGCCACCTGGAGTACCTATCGATACATGTAACGATGTATCTAAAGCCTTGCAACGGGGGAAGTGGACCCACTATATCTATATGCACGTGCTCGAAACGGGAACTGGGAATGAGAAAGGTGCCTGGTTTTGATCGAGTATGCCTGTGCACCTTGGAGCGTTGGCACTGGAGACAAGCGCGCGTCCACTTGGTTACATCTGATCTCATGGACTTCCANAATAAATGTTTGGTTTTTTCTAAATTTTTTATTAAAATTTCTGAATTTCAATTAAAAGAATATTTATTGTGGTAGCATTTTTTGTTTTATGGTGGCTCCACACATTTGCTATTTGCCAATTGCCAAATAATTGCCTATTCAGCAATTGGCAAATACTGCCACTTAATGGCACAATTCAGCACAATACAGTATACTGGAAATGGTGAATACGGAATATTAGACACGAGTAAATCATCCACACTACTTAATATTGGACAACTGTTAGCTTGGTATTTGGAAAATACTGAATATATGGAACCACATTTACAAAGAAAGAAATTGATTGATTCAATATTCTTCTAATGATTAACATATTTATTCAATTTTATATTATTTATACATTATTTTGCATTATAATAGAAATTTAATAAGTGATATTCTTTTGTTCTACAGTAATAAAAAAAAATTATTCAATGTAGAATGAATGAGTTTTAAAACTGTTTCTACATTTATTATAAAAATAATTTTCCACTCCTAAATGAAATCCTGCTTCAACTGTTGAGATTATAAACAAATATATTACATTATTGATGATGATAATAAATGCACTTATCACATGAGGTAAAATAACAAAGGTGTGTGTGTGAGACAAATAAAAAAAAAAATATTAAAAAATTATTAATTTGCTATTTTCTAATCCTTTCAGTATTAATTAATTATACAGCAGTACTGGATTTCCAAATATATGCATAAATTAGCATTTTAAGCAATGTAAACTCAATACACTGTAATTCAAGTTTAGGTATTCTAAGTTCAAGCCAGTATTTCACAAGAAATGTAAGAATACTTAGAAAGATTCAAAATATAATTTACAGAATCACCATATTTAAACAAAAAACACACCAATCATAATTTCAAAATTAAAAATTACAAATTCTGAATGAATGTTTTACAATGAAATTACCATTGAAAAGGTTAATATTCATTTTTTTAATAGCTGAATCTAGATTTTTAACATTTGAATTTTTGATGTCCAGATTTTCAACATTTCACTGTATCATGTAATTTCAGTTTCTTCATATTTGTATAATATTTTTTATATTATTTTCATAATATAAAAGCATTTTAGTAAAAGTAGATTATTTTGCAAATTTTAAATATCTCTAAAACAAAATTTATAATATATTGAAAACTGCAACAATAAAAAGTGAACTTAAAGAATTAATATTGTCTTAAATGATATATTTAGCCTTGTTATTAATTCGTTTTAACTGACATTTCAAAAATTTAAGAATGTATGAAGATGGTTGTTTTAAAACAACCAAAAACATTCATTTTTATTTAGAAAGTAAAAGTTAAGGTTATAAACTGTAGATTTTTTTGGTTTTTTGAGCATATTTAATTAAGAATATATTACAGTATAATGAATATTTATGATGCAATAGAAACTGAGACATCAGACATTTTATTATGACTACTTACAATAAAATTTTAAATCAGAAAAATTTCTTAAAGAAGATAAATCTCAGAAAGCAACAAGAATATTTTTTGTGACCAAATTTCATATTATTTAATAAAAAAAAATTTTAAAAGAACAGTTTTAAAAAGTCAAACAAATTCAGCAATTCAATGCTTGGAATAGAGCCAAAAATTAAAATTATTGAAAAGTTCATGAGTTTCATATCATGTAATTCTAATACTGAAACTTTTAAAAATAATAAAACAACAAAAGAAAAAGAAAAAAAATTAAAAGAAGATTTTATGTAAAGTGCATATTCACAGTTTTAATGTGACACCCTCCATTTTCATGTTTACTATCTGATTTTGAAAAGTCAAAATAAATAAAAAATACTTTGTCTTACAGCTGTAAGCAATAAGAAAAAAGGTGGAAAAAAAGACAAATTAAAGAGGTCTTCTTTTAATTAATGAAAATGTTCTTTCATGATGCCTATTCCAAGAGGGCAGAAGAGTGCCTGTTCAAAAAATATTATATTTATATTCTTTTATTATACTCTCCTCTAAGGATCTAAAAATTAATATCCTACTTATAAAATTAATATATGAGAATTTCATAAAAATTGGAACTATAAATTCCTGGTATTTTAGCCAAATAATAGAATATAATGTGGCTAATTTACAGAATAATAAATTCCATCAAAATAATTAAAATCTGAACTTTTATGTGTTGTTATAAAAATTGTTCTTTAATAGAATATAGTAGAATATTCTTTATAATAATCAAAATCTAAAACTGAGTTTATATATATACAGTATACTGGTATATGTATGCAGGAATAGTGATAGAAATATAGAAATGTCAATAGAAGTAACAATAATCTTCCAGCGTCTGTAGTTATCTTCAAATTATGGATAGAATGATAATGTTTTGGCATCCGTAACATCTTTAATCCTCTTTGCATGGTCACCAACTCAACTGTTGCCTCCCCTTACCTGTCTCCCTCTTGTGTTCTCCCTCATCTCCCCCCCTGCAATCCCTCATTTATTTTCTTAACAGCTTAGGAATGTTACTCATCTAACCCCCACACACACACACACACATATATATATATATATTCATTTTGGAATTTATTATTCTCTATAAACCTGCTAAGTTTATATTGTACATCAGCAGCTTATTCATTTAATATGTAGTTTTTTCATATTTTTTATGATAAATTATTGAAAAAAATGATAAGACTTCTTCAATTAAAAGCTTTCTATATTAATCAAACATCCTTACTACACCCGATATGTTTAAAGCTATACATCATCCAAAGCCGAATATTATCGGGCTAGAAACGGCTATAATACTGCTAATTATTAGTATTATAGCCGTTTCTAGCCCAATAATATTTGGCTTTGGATGATGTATAGCTCTCTATATTTATAATTTATATAATTTTTTAATTTAAAAATTAATATTTAAATTTTCATTTCATAATACAGACAGTCCTTGACTTTCAGACAACTTGCTGTTTTGTACATAATGCTTTCATACTCTTAAATCATTCTTGTATGCCAAATATAGACTTTTGTACATTTTCAGCTGGCAAGCAAAAATTCAGAGTTAGTTTGAAGTAGTGCTTGTTACCAGTTATGATTTTTGTAACATCAAAAGCATTTGAAAAATTAATTATTATTGTTTGTTTTCTGTTTAACCTATATTTTTAGCATGTCAAATAACATTTTATACATTGTAAAAAATTGATTCACTATAAAAAAACCAACTTTCCTAGCTCAATAAGAATCTCTTAGTAAGCTAGAAATTATAATAATAGTAATATAATTTTTCTTTTCAGCCCTCTGGGAATGGAATGCCTTTATAACATGCAACTCCATTGTTCAAGTTTTGACTTTCTCACACATTTTCTGGGACATATTACATCTGAAAATGAAAGACTGTCTATATTTATGTGATATGAGTATAAAACAGTTTTGTTATTGAGGAAAAAATGTGAAGAATCATTTCATTTATAAGGGAATCAATTCATTCATTTTTAGTAAAAAATAAGTTATAAATATTCAAATTAATATAAAAAATAATTTTAAAAAGTCAGGCAGGGAGTTTAATTGATATATCTGTCAAAAGGTAAAAAGCCTATGTCCTAAGGTGAGCTCAATGAAAACTGAAACCTTGTGTAGAGCAAAAGGGTAAAAGCTGGCTAGATCTTTATTTTCAGTATGAATACAGACCATGAAAGTAGGCTCATCAACCCTTTTGATTTTAGGAGTTTTAAACAAGAGGTGGCAGAAAAGTTGTCACAAGGATGACTGGCTTGTAGCAGCTCTTCCTATTATTGTGAAGGAGAATTTGCCAAGCATTGGATTGTTCATCCAAATAATTTTAAACTAAATATTAATTAAAAATTATCACTTTCAGTTCTATTTTATTAAAAATGAGAATAAACGGTCAACTGCATAATTTATTCTTATAATTTTTTATACATCAAAATCAAATTATCACAAAAATTAAGTTTATAAAATTAGTTGCTAAAACTATTTTCAAGTTTTATGTTAAAATTATTCCGAAAATATTTTATTGATATATTTATTCAGAGCTGAAACTGCAATAATACAATTTTCTTTAAAATAGATATTGAAAAGATACTTGATCCAAAATCATTCAAATAAAAATGTTATATAAAATAATAAGCTAGAAAGAATAATTATAATTTTTGTTTTTTTTTTTCCAATACCTATCATCACCAGTTAATTTGATTCACCAATTTTATTTTTTTTTATAAACTTGATACCTTGCCAAATTCAAGTTTGTATACTGTGATATTTTATGAATGCATACTCTATATTTAATAAGAGACAACTGTATATTGCCAAACATTTGATTACTACTTCAAGTAACTGATAGCATTAATTTTATCGTCAAGACTAGCTCTTAAGTCTATTCATAACAGGTTCTTGACCTATTGGCTACTTTGTCCTGGAACATTGCCTGATTTGTTTTTATACATTATTTTATAACAACTTATACTTTATTTTCTAAATCAAGTGAAGTAATTTTTTACCTCAGAAAAAAGTTAGAATTGCAGTTAAAGAAAAATTCTAATTAATAGTTTTCTAGAACCTACATATTTAACATTGTCTTAACACAAAATAACATATAGTGACCTGGTTTGCCTTTTTTTTTCTGAGTTTGGACATCAATTATTCTTCAGTGGGAATTTTTTACAATGTTTTCTTGATTCAGAAAACTGCTGCGATGAAAAATTGTGGAAAAAAAGGTGATGAATATAAGTAAATCATAGCTTTTAATGATAAATTACACTAATTAAATTTAGGGTCCAGAATGTAATATCTATTATAAGAAGACATCTCCTAATTTCAAGAGATTATTACAATATTTATAACTGTGTAGGTATTTCAGTATTTTAGATTAATTGATTTCCAATATGATAAATATTTACTATATTTTGTTACTTTAACCATATTAGAACAAAAATATGCACAATACATAACATATGTATAATAATGAAATATATAAAAAATTAAAAAATTA